GGGCAATATGCTGACTCTCTGTAAACCGCTTAGAGAGGCCTGAAAGGCCTATGAAGCGGTATATAAGTCTACTGCTATTGCTATTGCTATAACCTGAAGAGCTGTGAAATTATTAAAATGGGATTTGGGGCATTATAGGGATTGCAGGAGAGAAGAGAGGGTAGAAAAGATCTGCAGGATAAGCATGCTTAACTCAATGCAATTTTAGCCACTAATTTGGAATTAAAATAAACCTATATGGATCATGGTATTATGTTCTACAGACTTGTAAAGTGGATCCTTGACTCGCAAATAATAAATTACAAATTGCTCCATTAACCTCAGAATACGCTCAGATTACTCCCTTGTTTAATAACACAAACTGTTTTAACAACTGATGATTTAGCTAGAAAAAATGTGCCACATTCCCTATTTAAGTGTCCTTGTGTATGCTAAGACAGTGAAACTGTCTTACCATTTAAATATTTAAAATAAAAAGTCCTGTTATAAATGTTATAACATGCTTTTTGTTAGATCTTTATTATCTCAGGCTAAGATTCTCATAATGGCTAAATCATAATTGCATTAAATTAATTTTATTTTTGCTCCACAAGCATTTCAAAAGCCATTGTTGCTTTATTGTAATGTAATTAACTTTGAGTTGTGAACCCATTCAAACAATTTTTTATTTTTGTACAAATCTAGCCAATTACATTAATTAGGTGTAATTGAATGATGTGGTTTAAAATAAAGTGCAGTCAGCCATTACGTTCAGAATTTAAATCTCAAAGTTTAAAAAATTGTTAGTTATAATTTTCCACAAAATACAGAATTTTTTGCCAAACCTGTTCTTTTTGTAATATAGAATGAGATTTGCTGTTCAATCATGTCAGTGGTTGCTCAAAAATAGAACTGCTGCATGTAATGGAGCCTAATCTTAAATAAATTAGCTGATGCCAGTAAGTAGTTGACTTCAACGATCTTGAAACACTAAAGAATAGTAGTAATCAACAGAGACTGCCAAGTATCCCAAGGACTTGAACAAAATCAAGTTTTAAAAATTCCCGTAAGAAAGCCACAGCAGTGCACTTCCCCATTGTTGCCAAGAAAAAACTTACAAATATGCCCAAATAGTCACCAGGATTCAGGTTTGTCTTGAGTGAAATTTTGCCTTTATTTGTAATGTTAAGGAACAGTTCATTGAGCAGCATACATTTTAAAGTTTTTTCCCAAATGTTTTATCATGTTTTTAAAGCCCACTTCATAGCCATTTTATCTGCATTGGGGGTGTGCAGATTATTTGCACTATCAGTGATACTGATTAATAAGCAATTGACACGGCTTGTAAAATTAGACTCGGTTATCATCTGTTGTGAAGTAGTGGTACAGTGTAACATGTCACACTTTGCTGTAGATGTTGTTTGGGGAACAGATGTCTCTAGAATTTTTCTGTCTGCTGCACTTAAGGTTGCATTCTATTACCCTCAAATGTCAGGCATATTGATCTAAGTGTGTGGAAATTGGCACTGTAACAATTTTACTAGCCTGCAAATTTGGATAGTTTCTAGCATCTTATCCAAGAATAATTGAAGAGAGTTTTCTCAAAGAAGGTGGGGTTGATACAAATCGTGTTAGTGCAGTGGGGTTTGTGTGTGTGGTTCTGTTCAGTTGCTTGTTACATGATAAATTTCTGATAAAAAAGTATTGTTATGACCGAATCCACTTGTCATGACCGCTATGTGAAAAGGATAGAGCACATTAATAGAACAAAAGACCACCTCAGCGATGAACAGAATAATATTAAGAAAGCCGCATATAAAGAAGGGAAATTTGCCAACTATAATAATTGGTGAAATACTAAAAGTAATATTATATATTTTGGCAGCTTGCTTTTAATCGGACAAAGGTACATGACTGGTCAAATTTTAATAGTCTATGTCTGCGTGTCCGTGGTGATGGTAGACCGTGGATGTTAAACATCAATCCAAACAAATTCGACCCTACTTCAGTGAAGGATTCTTATAACTACTTCATATTCCCCCGAGGGGGGCCATATTGGGAGGAAATTGAGGTAACAATTATATTTTTATATACTATTATAGGAAGTATGGATTCCGATATTTTAAAAAATAGGCAATGTTTGAATTTAAATTTTTGAAACATGAAAAAAGGATTATTTTCTTATGTTATTTTCCCCCTAACTTGGATTTTTTGTAAGAGTTTGAGAATGGCAAGTTGCTCCTTACCCATTACTCCAGTTGCTGTAATACTTTTGGACTGAAAATATTTTTCTTTATTAAGAAAAGTAGCATGCAATTGCCTATGCAGCTATAGTCAATTGAGACAATTTACTATATAAAAAATAGTGAAGAAAGTGAGAATTGATTCTATCAGGAGAAACTTTAAAAATGGCTTAAATACTATAGATGGATTACTTTAAGAAATGTGTGTGGGAAGTCAAGAAAAGAAGGGATGTTAATGAATGTATATTGAATAGAAATGTCAGTGTTCATTAAAAGATACATATATATATATATATATATATATATATATATGTATATGTATATGTATATGTATATGTATATGTATATGTATATGTA